GCCAGAAGGCTGTTTTGGGACAGACTCTATTCAAAGCTGCTCATTTAAACCCTATACATATATATATATATATATATATATATATATATATATATATATATATATATATGTGTGTGTGTGTGTGTGTGTGTGTGTATGTGTGTGCATGTGTGTGTGTATGCGTGTGTATGTGTTAGAAAATAGCACATTAAGAAACGTTGGGAAGCGACTTTATCACGTTCGACTAATTTAGAAGCCAATATTTATTCACTCTTCTAGCTATTACGTGTTTTTTTTATTATACTTTCTTGTACTGCTCGGACAGAATCATAACACCTTTGGCAAGATGTGAATCTATATTTAACTTTTAGTTTTACTTTCCATGATCGGACATCAGGGATATTTTACCTTTAAAAATGTTGGCTTGTTCATTAGTCATGTTGGTGTAGGAGTGACTTGTGCAAATATGAAACGCAGCTTTTGGGCCCCATGCTTTCTGCAATCAGTGTACTTATTTGCATTAGCGACGAGTGTACATCGGAACTCATAAGACACTAACAGCAATAGTATTTGCATTCCGTTGTATCATTCGTATTCATATAGACTTGTCTCCTTATCTTTGACAATGTTTACATCAAATGGTTATTTTTAATTTTCACTCTTACTCCGGAATCTCCAAACAACCCCACTGTTTTTGGAAGGGACTTGGAAGTGAAGAGGTTCGATTACTTAGAGAGCGACCACTGGACATTTGCCACGAACGAATCCATTTTGTGAATGACTCAACACGTTTGAGCCGGGGGCAGTAGGCAAAGAAAACCGAAAATAAACGAACGCAGAGCTTCGGAGTAGTTCGCAGTAGTGACGAACTTATACAATTCTTGAACTTTACATCAGAAGTAAACCTTTGTGAGGCCATAGAAGTGACCATATGGGTTTTTAAAGCTCGACTAGATATGGGAAGGTGGTTAGAGTCTCGAGTTATCTCACTAGTAAAAGAACTTTCCACTGCGAAAAGTCGATTCATTCAGTCACATTACTTTAGCTCTTTTATATATATATATACTAGCAGCGTGGCAGGGCGCTGTCCGTGCTTGATTCAAAAATCGTACGACTCATACAGCAATCGCTATCACTACTCTTAAAATATTTTTGCCCTTCCTTGCCTTTAAAGGAGTGCCCTTTGCCGTGCTGATGTTGCTACATGCCTTACTTCTTGCCTATCTCACACTGCGAATTTTTTCTAATGTCTATACTAAACATTAAATCTGTTATGAAAAAGAACTAAACAAAATGAACACAAAACGATCAACTTTAAAAAAAAGACTCGTAACTGGAAAAAAACGGAATGAAAAAAAATGTTAACAACAAATACTTTTTCACACCCAACCCAGTTCTGTGGAATCAGAATCAACGTTGAGTTTAAGCAAGCGAATGAGCCAATTGGAGTACAGTGCCATGCAGATTTAAATTTTTCCCACTTGTGACGAATGCAGCTATCGATTTTTTTTTACATGCTAGTTAACATTGGTGTCAGTCAGCTGTTGGCTCTCACACTGGCCAATAGAATCTTCCTGCCTATTCGTGGCAGCCAATCTCAATAGGCTCTCAATCTGGCCAGTAGAAAATGGCCGCAAACTACATGAAAGTTGACGTAGAAGCATGAAAAAATCGATTATTTCCACTATCGATGGGAGTTCCCGCTTACATGTGCATGTAAATTTTGGTGCGAATCCGTCGAAAATTGCGTCCGTGCATTCGTTACACACACACACACCACACACACACACATCCTGCATTATATATATATATATATATATATATATATATATATATTCTTTTTTCTTACTGTTATTTTTTAATTTTCTTTGTCTATTTCTTTCGCTTTTCCTGTGTGGTTCTTATATTTACGCGCATATATGTTTAGTTATCGTGTCGCCTGCATTAACTAATTCACTCGGGCCTTAGGTTTGTAGCGTTTATTGATACTTTTCACATCAGCGTGGAATTTACCGGATAAATTGGCATTTAGATAAGAATATATATATATATATATATATATATATATATATATATATATATATATATATATAAATGCACTCGTTTCGGAAAACCTTCGGTTTCTTGATTTGCTAATGATCCAATCAACTTCGAAAGAAAAAAGGTTTTAAAAAAAGAAAGAGCTAGGAACATGAATGTCTGTCGAAAATAATCGTACAGCACACAGGTCCAAAGCCCAAAGAAAAAGAAAAAACGATACGAGTAATCAACTAACTAAAAAGTGCTCAATACAAAGTAGGGCAGACCTAGTCAAACCTAGAGAGCCAGACAAACCTACCAAGGTTTCACCTAAGCGGATCGTTAAAGAAAGCTGGCTTTCCTGACGATCCGCTTAGGTGAAACGTTGGTAGGTTTGTCTGCCTCTCTAGGTTTGACTATATATATATATATATATATATATATATATATATATATATATATATATATATATATATTCTTTTTCTCCAATCCATTTTTTATTATCTTTTAAAATTTTAAACCTAATGTTCGGTTTAATTTAGAATTTGAAATGTTTATTTTCTAATTTTACCGTGAAATTAAAACTTAATTATTTCATATCGATTTCTAGTTTAGTCTAACATTAAATTTGATCAACTAACGGTTTGTATTTAGAATACACTGTCATGTTTTTTGAATTTTTATATACTTGTATTCTGATTGGTCGTCATAATTTACGTAACACGGTTTCCCCTATTGAGGGAGTTGAACTTGGTTTTGAATTTTCAAAGAAACTCGTTATTTCGCAATCAACACCATCACTTGATAAGACACCGGAAGTGTTGAAATAAAATATATATATATATATATATATATATATATATATATATATATATATATATATAATTATTTAATGAAAAAACAGACCACTTTAAGGTACAATTACAATATTTTATTTCACCAAAATCCTTTTTGAAGGACTCCGGATCATCAGGTAACACTTCCAACAACGAAATGAAAGGAAAAATGGGATTCGAAATTGATGGGTAGTGTATTTTTTTGTAATTTAACAGGGAGGGTGATAGTTGTAGTCAACGAGAAAAGAAAGAGGGGGTAAAAATTTCTCTTGGTTTTTATAAGGAGGAGACCTAATTGTGACCTATTTAGATGGTTAACTTAACGTAAAATGATATCTAAATGAAAGGAGAGTGTTATCTAAATGAGTGTTACGGCAAAAGAGAGGGGGAGAGGGAAGTGAATCGAAAAGGCTGTAATTTTGTTTTAATAAAATTATGTAAAATATAGATTTCAATGTTTGATAGAAATTTAGATGTCTAAAAAATGATGAATGTTATCAATTTAAACATTTAGTTTTTTAAGTAAATAGTTTTCTTGAATTACCCATTCGGTTTACCAAGTTCTTTATATATATATATATATATATATATATATATATATATATATATATATATATATATATATATATATATATATATTGTGTATATGTATAAATAGTGTTTAACATAAACTGAGCCTCAAGTCAAAGATAGGCACTCAGTAAAATAACGCTGAAAGTGGTAAAAATATGTCGCATCAATAAATATAAATCCATTATTTCTTTAGTAACGCCACCTAATTTCTCATAAGAACGTTAAACTCATAAAATGAACAATTAAGAATTGTTTATTTAGCAATATCTTTATTGTTGTCATTACTCAAGTTCACCAACATTAATTTTCAGCGACATCGGTACTGTAACTGCGTAATATAATTAATTGCATTAAAAAAAAAAGAATTTCTTTTGTTTCTGGTAACTTCCCGAAAGAAATAGTAATAAATAGTAATAAGTAGGAAAATATGTTTAGGGAAACTGTATTTATATTAAATTGCTTTTTTTAAGTACACAAATATTTATGTGTCCTGACATGTATATAATATTTTTTGAAATAATATTAAATTTTACGAAAAATTATTTTTTTTACGTATAATAGAAAAGCGGTACAGTGAGACTTTATCCATCATGAGCTAAAAACGAACCCCAGGGTTATTTGAAATCCGTGTTTATTAAAATTCCATTACAGCTAACAATTCATACCATGAAAGCAAAAATGAATGCTTATTAATCTTGATTCAGTATTAGTAATATATTCTGTTACTTTAGGTATATCAATACGGATTTATACACACTTACCAATATACTGAAATTACTACTTACTGACTAAAAAAAAAAGATACCTCCTTTATTTAAACCCTATAGTTTATTAAGATTTTATCAATTAAAATGCACCCTATCTTATTTGGCATCGTTTTACCGTTTATTCGAGAGGCAGTAGTACGTGAAAACTTTTTCCTGGGGTCAGTAAGTATTTTCCCTAAATCTGAAGGCCGTTCGTGACGGGGGTTGATTGTTTATAGAAAACAAGCAAACTCTTTAACCATATTGTTCGAAATTTGATGCAAAATATTCATTTCTCTTCTCCTCGCTCGAGACTTCGTGGTGAATCGAGTGGGCGATCGTTGGCGACGTCTTCCCACCTCTCGTCAATGTCGATCGCCCTCATGTCCCTTTTGCAGACGTCCTTGAAGCGAAGAGGAGGTCACCCTCGTGCTCTCTTGCCTTCTTGCCGGTGGCGCCAGTTCCCCGTACAGAAGGACCTTCGAAATCCTCCCATCCGGCACACGGTGTACATGTCTAAGTCAGCCGAGTCGTCGGTTCGGTTGGGGAAGGGCGTCGTGGCTGGGTAACAGGACACGAGAGAGAACTACAGTACTGGTGATCCGGTCCAACCAATCAGTGTCCAGAATATATCTCAGACAGTGAAGATGAAAGACTCTGAGGCGCCTCTTATGTCCATATATATATATATATATATATATATATATATATATATATATATAAGAAAAACGACATTAAATGTTTGCATTGATTATACAAGTACCACACCAATTCGTAGGTTAACTGTTCACTTATTGACACTTAGCACTATTCGTTCACATATCAATCATCACAGTCAGTTTTGTGTATGACTCACAGACATCAAGTATCATTTGTCAGCTTAATTCTTCTTCTTCTTCTTCTTCTTCTCCTCCTCCTCCTCTTTCTTCTTCTTCTTCTTCTTCTTCTTCTTCTTCTTTATGTGCCGTATCTCCTTGGAATGTAGCCGATCATGGCTCTCTACAATTTCCTGTTCTTTGTAGATCTTAATAAATTTTGTCTTTTTGTTATTTCTCCTAAATCCTGTTCCGCCATCCATTTACTCAAGCTCAATAAGTAGGTTATGCGTTTCCTATGCAAGACCGCATGTAGCAAAACAGGCCCTTGCAGAAGCTTAGAGTTGAAACGGGAAACCCTCGAGCACTAAAATTATTCTCCTGATTTAGCAACTTCGGATTTTTATTTGACTCTTTGCAGTCAGTTGAAAACTACCGCACAACCTTCTTCCAACAACAAAAAAAACACGAAGTTACTACGAAAACGCCATCAACAAGCTTGTAGGACGATGGCAGATAGTTGTTAAAACCATCGAAACTGTTTTTTGTGAGTATATAAAAATTTGTTTTTAACTTTCTTATTCGGCATGAACATTTGCACGGATCTAAAAAAGTTGATTAGTGCGCATCTGCTGTCTTTGCTTTTTTCTTTCTTTCTTTTTGATGAGTTCCCTCTAAAAAAGCGGGTCATACCACTAAGATATAAAATGTTACTGAGTGTTAGAGAATATGAGAAAAATACTATTAAGCAGAGAGAATAATAAAAGAACAAGAATTAAGAAGACAGAAGATAACGATTGATAGTGCATTTAAATTTATGAACATTTGACTGGGAAGCAAGAAGTAAGAAATACAATACAATATTAACATAGAAATTACTGTTACATCTAGCCATTTCAACTGTAAAATGATGAGACCATGCCCCCAATCTAGTACTATGATTAAATTAATCAAGTCTAGGTACTATAGAGGAACGTCCATCAGAACAATTACCATGGAAATAAGTAGTGAAAAGGCACAGGGAAGCTACGTTACGACGGTGGGAATGTGACTGAAACCGAATTGCCAGATTAGGGCCAGTAGTACTGCCTACCTTGGAAGAAGTCATCACGGTGAAAGAAAGGCAATTCTCAGCCTAATCCAGACAGTAGATGAAATAAATGCAAGCAAGCAAAAAAGGAATGGATTAATAAGAAATGTGCAGCGATTGGGGGAAAAAAAACTGTTGATCACAGACGTGGTAGACAAGCACGAAAAGATTAATGAAATAGTAGAACGTAAATCGCACTCTTCCGCGCGATCTACAAAATATGGAAAAGGAAGGATCAAGATAGAACAAAAAGGAAAGTTAGAATGACGGTGGTGGAACAACTTTGTAAGGGCTATCTGCGATTTAGCCCAAAAATGAAGAGGACGAGGAGCAGCAAAATTAGATGAGATCCTCATAGAGATACTAACATCCCTCGCTGATTTGAGGATTGATAAGTTTACCGATATGATACTAACAAAATATACGATAGTGGTGAAAGACAGGAAGACCTCATTCGATCCATATTAATGGAGCTGCCAAAGAAACCAGGTGTGAATGAATGGGAAATTCCTCATAGAATGTTTGAAAAGCCATATAACAAAATTCTAATAACAAGAACTCCCAAAAGTATTCGATTAGCAAGAGAAAAAAACAAGATGGCTTTAAAACTGATATAAGAAGATCGATTTGTTTTATTCAAATACAATGCAAGTAAAATTTATAAAAACCTATAATATATCATTATATATTCATGGAGATTGACTGAATTGCTTTTAGCAGATTATCATCCATTTACAGGTTATTTAAACCAGAAAATATTTTCAGATTATAACAATTTTTTTTTTTAGAGATAATAATGATTTATTGAGACAAGTTCTACTAATTTACTCATGGCTACAGGGAGGTATTCATATTTTTCCCAAGGATATTTGCTCGAAAGTAAATATAACAAACCCGACTGGAATTTGAACTCGGCTCTCCGATTTCCTTGTGCCCTTATATATTTCACCACCTGCACATCGAAGCTTACCCCACCTGGTATTCCCAAACGATTGCCCATCTAGATACTGACCAGGATCGACGTTGCTTAACGTCAGTGCTCGTACGAAAACAGATGTTTCAACGTGACTTTACCGTAAGTCAGAGGATTCATAAGATTCCCGATGCGGCATTCACGAAATATATAACAGCCGTGAAAGACAGGTGAGCCTCAGTCAATCCATATTAATGAAACTGCCTAAGAAATCGGGTGAGAATGAATGCGAAATCTATTTATAAATCTTTTTGATAAGCCACATAACAAAATATAATAATAATGAGAAGTCATAGTAAAATTAGACTATCAAAGGAAGAGCACGATGGCTTTAACTCTAATATAAGAAATACACATTGTTTATCCGAATAGAAAGCAAATGAAATTCAGAAAAACTTATAATTTATTTATATATATTTAGGAAAGCCTGTATGTATAGCCAAGACATAGTCAGAAATACGAGCAATAATAATTCAGAAATGCCTATAATTTAAAAATATATCTATACTCTCGATTCAAATCGATGGTTGAAATGGCTTCGAGGGGTTTTGTCTCAGCGAGAATTACTCTTCGTAGAACTGGGTTGACTGGCTTTGCAGAATCATAGAAACGCAGCAGAATTGCAGCAGATGACAAAACAATATCTCCTGAGGGGTTTGAACGAAATTAACAGCTAAAATGGGTAGCACATGTAACTGCAAGAGAAAATAATGACATAATCAAAATGCTGATATTTCACACTTCCTCAAACAAAAGACGTGGAAGGAAGTCTCGATCAATACTAGAAAGAGAAATAACAGCTACGAGATTTGAGAAACATATTTTCCTGAAAAATGTTTTACGAGGAAACTTTGTATAAACTTCAACTGACAGCAGCACTGACTTCTTTGTCAATGCATGTCGAATGTATCCTTATAAGGACACAATATTACTATTTTCTTTACCACCTTTTTATTCAGGAATATTTATGACAGCTGACTATAAAAAAACAACTTGCAGTACGAGCAATACAAAATTTCAGAAAGACTTGTTAATTTGCTCCATAGATTACAGTACACAAATAGTAAATTACAACGTGAAGAAATGAAATTTTTAGGAAAGCTTGGTCTCCACGGAAAAGATATGTTCATCATGTGTAACCCCTGCTGAGAAGAAAACCCCTCTATAAGCAAATATAGAACGAGTGAAGAGGCAAAAATAGAAAGCGTAGGATGACAAGGTTGTTTTTTAACCTGTACAGCGTGAGGATTTTAAAGAACCTGAAGGCCTGCCAGTATTATCGACGGACGAAAATTAGCAACATACGGATAACGGTGTGTTAAAGGCAGATTTAAAAATGAAAACAGGATGAAAAACGAGACAAGTTCGTCATTAAAAACAAAAAATACAACTTCCTATCCTTTGCAGCTCTGAGGAAAGTGTTTTTTCACCATCCTTTCTCTTTGTTCGGACACCCGTTTACACAAGCTTCTTATGTTTCCCTCTCTTGTGAGTCTCAAATTTTCCAAGTCCTCTTTGTTCCATTATAAGTAAAACTTCCTATTTACTCACATGTTCACTCCATGGTATTCTCAGAATCCTTTTGTAGAGCCAAACATCTGTTTACTTAAGTTTTTTTTCATCATTCACAGTCATATTTGAAGACTGATGTTACATGTGAGTTCCGTGCTCCAGTTTCTAACGAAATTTTCATATTTCTTTATGCTTTTTCTTAGGATTTGGAAGGCACCTTTCTTTGATCCAGTGCACCTTCAGATTTTGGTGTCACAGGATGATCGCAAAATTCAAATTACAATTCTGCGATACTAAAATCAAAGATGTACAAAAATTTAAATGTTTGGGGAGTGTTTTAAGAGGGCGGAAATGCAACACTGACATCCGAAGATTAATTTTGATAGCCAAAGATTCATTCCAAAAGGTTAACAGAGTATTACAAAACAGAAAAAAAAAACTTTGTTTGAAACAAAAAAAAAATAGATTATTGAAATGTTATATAATATCTCACCTCCTATATGGTAGAGAATGCTGTACAATCTCCTCAAGGATGAAGAGACCTGAAGCAACAGATGTGTGACTCTACAGAAGAATGTTGAGGATACTACGGACCGAATATGTAAGCAACGACGATGTTTCAGAAAAAAAAACGGAAGCAAAATCAAACTTACACTCAACATAAGGAAAAGACAGATGAAATTTCTTGGGCAAATAATGAGGAAAGATGGCTTGGAAAATCTGATACTCAAAGGACAAATGGAAGACAGAGGAAAACAACGCATAACATGCCTTATGAGATACAGTAAAGGAATGCCAGAACAAGGTTTAGGATAAATACTAGTCAAAATTTATTGAGAAATAAAGGCGACGCTTCAGATAAAGAAGAGATTATCCATTCACTGTTAAAGCACTTACCAGATATTTAAATTTTTTTACTAGCTTGATTTTTTTTTGTTTTATATCTCCAGTGCAAAGTCCACTGTTCAGTGGTTTCTTTGGCTGACAGTTCTTACGGAAGGAAAATTCTTAACCGGTTTTCCTATCTATATAGTGGCACTCAGAAAATGTGTCCACGTTTCTACCACTTGTGCTGCACTTGAAAGTCTTTTGCTAAATATTCAGTGATAATAATGAATTTTTATAACAGAAACAACAGCGAGAAATTATTACCCAATACTGAAAAAAAAAAAACGTAAATGTAATTCTATAGTTTTCTATTTCTTTAGCAACAAGCAATTTTTCATTGTCTTTATGAAGTAATTCACGATTTCTTAAAATAGTTTCCTATTGACAGAAGATAAAAATTATAGTCACGAACGGGCATTCGTGACGCTCTGTGATGTTTAACAGTGCTTGTTGAAGGTTATGAATTATTATCCAGACTTTTGATAAAACATCTCTCACGAAACATACGCCGTCATCGTTACAGGCAATAAAGAGAACCAGTGACATTCCAGTCTCCTATGCACACCATATAACTATGTTGGCATCCATACACGTCTCTCTCTCTCTCTCTCTCTCTATATATATATATATATATATATATATATATATATATATATATATATATATATGGGTGTGTATGTGTCGGTGTTGTGGAACAAGCCTGAGATGGCAAGAGAATGTTGGACAGGGAATGTGGATTCATCCTTAAGCAGGGATTTACAAGGTGGTCTTCAAAGGAAAATTCAGCGGGCATTGCTTCGCAAATGTAACCATGTGCGAGAATAAAAGAAGCTTTGAACATTCTCGATAGATTTATAGATTCGCTTATAGACCTTGTTTCCATACACTTTATACCTGCCTTTGTTTCTTTGTTTCTTTCTTTTTTCTTTGTTTCTTTCTTTTTTCTTTCGCTCTTTCTGTCTTTCTTTTGCGATTAATTGTCAATCTCAGTTAATTAGATATTTCTTCAAATTACTTAATTTCACTTCTATCTATCTATCTATCTATCTATCTATTTATCTATCTATCTATCTATCTATCTATATATATATATATTTATCTGAGTTAATTATTATTGTCTTCATTTCTCTCTATCTAACGCAATTTCCTCATACATATCTATCTATCTATCTATCTATCTATCTATCTATTCATTTATTTATTTACCTATCTATCTATCTATTTATCTATCTATCTATCTATCTATTTATCTATATATATATATATATATATATATATATATCAGTCAATTATTATTCTGTCTTCATTTCTCTCTATCTAACGCATTTTCCTCATACCTATCTATCTATCTATCTATCTATCTATCTATCTATCTATCTCAGTTAATTATTTTTCTTTCTTTCTTCATTTCTGTTTATCTAGCGCAATATCTATCTATCTATCTATCTCATTTTTTCCTATCTATCTATCTATCTATCTATCTATCTATCTATCTATCTATCTATCTAGCCCACTTACTTATCTATCTATTCATCTATCCATTCGACTTACTTGTCTATCTGTCCATTATCTCAGTTAATTATTTTCCATTCTTTCTTTCTTTCTTTCTTTCTTTCTTTCTTTCTTTCTTTCTTCCATCTATCTATCTATCTATCTATCTATCTATCTATCTATCTATCTATCTATCTATCTATCTAGCCCACTTACTTATCTATCTATTCATCTATCCATTCGACTTACTTGTCTATCTGTCCATTATCTCAGTTAATTATTTTCCATTCTTTCTTTCTTTCTTTCTTTCTTTCTTTCATCCATCTATCTATCTATCTATCTATCTATCTATCTATCTATCTATCTATCTCTTAGCATTCTCATTTTGGTTTGCTTTCTTACCTGTATCGTATATTTAAACTAAAGAATCAGAAATTAGAAGTTTCTGTCTTCGTCCACTTATTGTCGTATGTAGGTTTCGACCTACATACGACAACAAGTGGACTTGTTTAGCAGCCATGGTAAGTGAACAGGTTGATTGCAAAGTTCCGTGAGACTTGTCGAAAAACTTGGAAGCTAAAATAAATGTCCATGCTGATGTTTTTAACCTGTGCATATTTTTTTGTTTTTCAATTTGACAATTTTTCTCTCCATTAATTATCTTTCTCTCGTTTTTTTTTTTCTTTTCTCTCTGCTAAATATTTCTGCTCATTATTATAACCAGATCCGTTTCGTCTTGAAGTGATAATATAAATCAGTAGGATTTCGTATCTTCAGCATGACTACACGTTTCCAGACGTGTTCATCTGCTTAGGTCTATTTCTGTTTCTTCAATATAGCCAACGTGTGGTTTATACGGCAAAAATGTTGAAGGGTCCTTAAGTATGTTCCCAACTAAAAACTCATACTATTTTGAATTCAGTGTTTTTCTTCTCCTAGACTGGTTGCTGATCACGGCTAGAGAGTACAGTCTGATTTACTATCTAACTCATAACTGACTGGAGAATAGATGTCTTCATACCTTTCACAAGTGTATTTATGCGAAAGTGAATTAACGTTCTCGACTGGAATTGGAAAACGGCTCACAGACTTATCGTTCCGAGCCACGAACCATTATCCCATTGCACATCCAAAGTTCTGCTGACATTTTAAAATCACCGATTGTGAGTCTCTTCCCAACCTACTTTAGCAAACAACAGTATATTAATAACAACTTATATGGCATGCTAAGAATCAAAAGCGTCGTTTCAGTAACTTTAGATAATATCTCAACACTTAAGTGCCTCCGTCCCCAATACATTTGCAAAATAATTTAAGGTCTCCTAAATATGCAAATTATCAGGTCATCCCATAAGTTCTGTTCGAATTTTAACTTTTTGTTAAAATGAACGAAATTTAAAGAGTTTTTTATAATGTCTAATGGAGCTGAACAATATTTTTATGTTTAGATGTATTTAAACTGATCAAATTTTATTTCAGAGAACAATAAAATTAAATTTTATTTGATTAAAACCCTACTAACATGGAAGTACCCAAGAATCATTTGAGGCACATAATACTTTACGAGTTCAAGAAAGGAAACTCAGCAGCCGAAGCAGCTAGAAACATTCACTCAGTTTATGGAGAGGAATGTGTGAATGAAAGAACTTGCAGAAGATGGTTTGCAAAATTCAGAGGTGGAGATTTCACCCTTGAAGATGAAGATCGAACCGGACGTTCAGTTGAGTTTGATGAAAAGCTTCTTGAAGCATCCCTTGAAGAAAATCCTGCTTTGTCAGTTGAGGAATTGGCAGTGGTTCTCAGTTCAAACCATACAACTGTTCATCGTCATCTTCAACAACTTGGAAAAGTTCCTAAACTTGGAAAATGTGTGCCTCATGAATTGTCTGAAAACAACCTCAAATCCCGAGTTGACATCTGCTCTTCTCTCCATTCTCACCAAATTGTTTCACCTTTTTTGGATAGACTTGTGACTGGCGACGAAAAATGGATCTTTTATGGAAATGTTAAGCGTCGTAGACAGTGGCTTGGTAAAGGGGAAGGACCCCAGCCACAGCCAAGAATGGAACTTCATGGGCAAAAGGTTCTTCTTTCAATCTGGTGGGATCACCAAGGACTAATCCACTTTGAATTCTTACCACCTAATGCAACAATTAATGCTCAAATATAATGTTAGCAATTAGAGCATTTGAACCAAGCTTTGAGGAAAAAAGACCTGCTCTAGTGAATCGAAAAGGGGTGATGTTTCATCAGGACAATGCGCGACCCCACACAACAAGAATCACGTTACAAAAAGGTCGAAGAACTTGGTTGCGAGAAAATTCCTCATCCACCTTATTCTCCCGATCTTGATCCTTCAGACTACTATTTGTTTCGTAGCTTACAGAATCATTTGGAAGATACAGCTTTTGTAACACAGGAAGAGGTTAAAACTGACATTTGTGAGTTCTTCGAATCAAAGCCAAAAGAATTTTACAGAATTTTTATTAGTAAGCTTGTTAATAGATGGAAGGAAGTCATAGATAATCAGGGAAAATACATTGTTGATTGTGTCTGTAATTAAATGTAACATTTTCTCACTTGTTTTCTTTATTCAAAATTCGGACAGAACATGGGATGACCTGATAATATGGCTACGTAATCTTAAAACCACCCGGTTACTGGCAACTGAATTTTCCGGCAATCCTATTTAAAAGATTGACTCCGTTTATTTATTAGATGCAACAACAAAATTGTCCAAATCGTGTAACAGAATGAGATAAGTGTCCACCCGACAAAATGTTTAATATCTAAAATACCACAAAACTAATTCAGTTTCTTTTTGCTAGATTATCAGATAATATACAATTTGTCTTAAGAATCACTGAAAAACCCTTTGAGTCATTCAGCTGGAAAAAAACAGGCTAAATCGTTTTGTGTCAGCCCCGCTCTGTCTTCAAAACTGAACAATGGTGATGGGAAAAAGATCATTAAGGTCTTCAGTAATGGTACCAACATTCATACACCGGCTTCCAACTTCAAAGTCCATTAAAGAACCCTTAAGAGAACGGTGGATAAGTTTTTAAAAAGCGGGAACAGCAGAGAGGAAAACTGAACCAGGAGCTCACAACATCAAAAGGAATCATCATTTCAACTTAGAGTTAAATACATTGTTATTGTTCAAAATAGAGTCCAATAGTGTTATAAAAACCTCGGAGAATTTCAGTAAGTTATATTTAATCATTTATAAGATACAACGGTTCAAAACTTAATGTAACAGTTGGACAATTTTGCTGTTACACGATCGGGACAATTTTGCTGTTCCACCCGGTATACATTACTATTTGATAAACTACATCACAAGGAACTGTTGAAAATGCCAGGTACCATTGTCATATTTGTGAAGAATGTTAGAATCATCCAGAACCTACACTGGCAAACCGACTACAAAGGGATAAAATATGAATTCAGTAAATATGCAAAAATAGAGGTGGTGTAAGACACGGATGTGTCACCGGACTTATTCAAACTATGCTGCAAGGCTATTCGGAGAGAATTAGAAGTCCTACCAAGATTTATTATTGACAGCCACAATTTTAACAAATTAAGATGTGCAGATGACACAGTATTGATAACAGACACAAAAAGGAAACTGCAATAACTCCTGCAGAAGGCGGTGAAGGGAAGCGAGTAGAAAAGACTAAACATCAATTGCAAGAAGACACATTGCAAAATGGTTGCCAGCAAAAGGAACGGCCCAACATGTAAATTACAAATTGAATATACCAAAGCGAAGGAAGTATAACAATTTAAATATCTGGGAAATGTTTTAATAGATGACAGAAAGTGCGACACCGAAATTCGGAGACGCTTTGGAATAGCTAAAGATGCCTTCCTAAAGCTAAACAATGTATTAAGAAGCAGAGAATTTTCTAAATTGTTACGCGATATCAATCGTTCTATATGGAAGTGAATGCTGGAAATCTCACAGATGAAGAAGAGATTCAAATGAAAAGAAATGTGGATACTGATAATATCATGTGAGTAACGAAAAAAGTTTTAGAGAAAATGCAAAAAGGACAATTATACTTAACATCAGAAAGAGGCAGTTGAAATTTCTAGGTCACTTAATGAGGAAAGAGGGCTTGGAAAATATACCACTCAGAGGACAAAAGAGACAGAGGAAAACAGCGCATAACTATCAAACTAAATTGTGTAAAAGTGTGTCAGAAAAGCTTTAGAAGAGATAACAAAGAGGACAAAATTTACTAAGAGCTACAAAGGACAGGAAATTGTGGAGAGCTATGATCACCAACGTATTGAAGAGACATGGCACAAAAAAGAAGAAGAAGAAGAAGAAGAAGAAGAAGATATATTACTGCGTCTTGTGTTTGAGGAGAAAGGTTGAAATAAAGCCAATAAAAGATGTGAATAAGAGACCGGAAATAGCAGAAGTCGAATTAAGTGATAAAGTTTTGTTCCTCAATATAACATTTAATAATTACTATTCTCCTTGAGATCAATACACAATCAAGTTTAATCAATGTTTAATAGAAATCGTTTAGCGTCTAATAGAAAAGAAGTTTCTTTTCTACAAGTAAAATGGTAGGTAATTATTTATATCAATTGGCTATTTCCGGTCTGACAAGAAGTAAACATTTCTTAAGAAAAGGGAGCTTCTTTTTATTGCTATGAATAAAGATCCAAGTTTTCTTTCACCGATGTGAAGATTAGGTTTAAAAAAGACCCAGAATGGAATAGAATTTGTTATTTTGTAATGTCATGTGACTTCAAGACGGAATCAATAATGGCTTTCAACAGATACTTTCCTTTTATTATCTGTGATTTATCGTGACTACACAGCTATGTTAATGAAGTGGTATTACACCTGGTTCATGTTTTTGAATTCATGATGGTCATTATTCGAGTCTAGTTGTCATCCAAAGCTAGAGATCCCTATCTCCTCAATTATTTAACCCATAGCTGGGTAGAAGAGATGAGATTTCCAAGAGGATTAGAGTGAAAGAGAACGCATAAAGCTAAGCCTAAATTTGTTGAAGGTTCGCCGATTCTCTTTATTTCGCTGATAATTCATTGAATGTATAGGCACAGAATCCCATATCCGAAATCCTTCGAGTTTGTTGTTTCGATTTTCAGAAATTCAAACAATTTTGCGACAAAAACATATGGATACTCATGTCATGAGGTATAAATAGACTACAAACATTATCACGGTGTATTTATAGAATAATATACTGATAAATGAAATAGAGGTATAATTAAGTCTATAAATAATGAATGAATTTTATTCATTTCAGACAAAAATGCCTTGTGTATGTTGCAGTTTTTTTGTGTATATGTGTACTAGTGAGCTAGCCCAAATGACTTGACTCATTTTATAGTCGACCAATAGAAGATTAACCAATCAGAAGATGTAGAA